GAAGCCAGAAGTCATTCAGATTTCCTTCTCTGACCAACTTAAATTAGAAATCAGTAGTGGAAAGTCACTATTCTTATATTAATAATATTCATTTAAAAAAAAAAACCCAGTAACAACAAAAACAAAACTCCTACATGCATCAAAGAAATCACAAGAAAGTAAAAATGCAACTCAAACTTAGTACAATGCACTTAAGAGAAAACTGTAGTTTTAAATGCTTACTTTTTAAAAGAAGTTCCTGAGACTAGGGATGTAGCTAGTAATGCTTGCCTAGTATGCACGAGGCTGTGGATTTGATCACGACCACCTGTTCCTCTCAGGACTTGAGAGGTCTACGCAGGCGGGCAGGCGGATCAGGAGTTCAAGTCATCCTTGGCTACATAGTGAGTTTAGGCCAACCTAGGTATATGAGACCTTTTTTTAAAATACTTTTATGTGTATGCGTGTATTGCCTGCATGTAGGTAAGTGTACCCGTGTTGTGCAATGCCTGCGGAGGTCAGAAGAGGCTGTCGGATCCCCTAGGACTGGAGTTAGGGACAGTTGTTAGCTGCCATGTGGGATTCGAACCGGACAAGTGCACTTACACACTTGCAGGCAATACACACATACACATAAAATAATATTTTTTTAAAAAAAGGGGGGGGGGCTGGAGAGTTGGCGCAGCCGTTGAAGGCTCGGGCTCACAACCAAAAAATAAAAAAGTAAAAATTACTCCCAAAGTCACACTGGGTGGTGAAGTAACAGGTCTTTTTGAGACAGGGTCTCCCTGTAGCAGCCCCAGCTGGCCTGGAACTCGCTTTGTAGACCAGGCTGGACTTGAACTCACCGAGGTGCACCTGTCTCTGCCTCCCGAGTGGTGGGACTAAAGAAGTGCACCACCAGCCGGGCCCAGTAACAGGTCTTTTCTCTTAAATGAACCGAGGCTACACTGCCTGTCCTGACAAGGCCACGCCCCTCTGGCTCGAAGCTGCCCCGGCAGCACACTGCGCATGTCAGGTCCTCGGGGGGCCGGGCAGTCTCACGTGCTAACCGCCAAACTCGCTGTTAACGGTTGCGCAGTCTTGAGCAACATGTGCAAGGATCCCATTGGCTGAGCGCTGTGATAGGCAGGCGCAGGCGCAGATGCCACAACCCCATTGGTTGAGCCTAGGGCAAGGCCGGGCGCGTGGCGTGGCCAATCCGGGAGAGGCTTCGGCGTGTGCGGCGCCATCTGAGCGGGTGAGGTGGCCGCGGAGGCCGACTAGGCCATGCTGCGCCTCGCGGCCAAGCTGGTGGCCTTCTTTTGGAGGAGAGAGGACGTTCCTGAGGAGGAGGTCAGGCAGTCGGGGCAGGAGCTGCTGGAAGGTGTGTCAGGGCGGTGCGGCCGAGGCCCGAAGCCCCCCTTGGGTGGCGAGAGCACAGCGTGAGGGACTACGCCTCGGGCCGTGCGCATGCGCGGCATCAGGGTGGGTGGGAGGACCGGGCTTCGCGGCCTAGGTCGGCCCTCGTTGCAGACCCAGATGACCGCTGTCTCCTTAGTCAGCGTCCTCTCAGAGGAGCTCTGGGAAATGGGCCTTGTGGAGCCACTGCCGGGTCTTGTCACGTGACTTTTACTGTTCTCTGTCACTGCTTAGGTTTCCACTCTGCCCGTCTTTTTGTCTTACTATTTTCACTCTATGTATATGAGTGTGTTGTCTGCATGTGTGTAAGTGCACGTGTGTCATGCAATGCCTGCAGAGGTCATAGATGTCAGAGGAGGGCGTGGATCCCCTGGAACTGGAGTTGTAGACAGTTGTTGGCTGCAATGTGGGTGCAGGGAATCGAACCAGGGTCCTCTGCAAGAGCAGCCAGTGCTCTTAACTGCTGAGCCATCTCTCCGCCTCTGTGCTGCATCATCCTTATTTATTTAGCTTTAAATATTTATTTATTTTGTGTGTATGTGTGTATTGCCTGCATGTGGGGACGTGCACCTGTGTCGTGCAGTGCCCGCAGAGGACAGGAAGAAGCTGTCGAATCCCCTGGAACTGGAGTTACCGACAGTTGTTAGCTGCCATGTGGGTGCTGGGATTCGAACCTGGGTCTTCTGCAAGAACAGCCAGTGTTCTTAACTGCTGAGCCATCTCTCCAGCCCCTATTTATTTTAAAATAATTTGTTGAGAATTTCATACATGCATATAAAGTGTCCTTATTTATTTTTGTTTTATGTGTATGAGTGTTTGTGTGCATGTTTGTAAGTGTACCCATGTCGTGCAGTGCCAGGGAGATCAGAAGAGGATCCCCTGGAACTGGAGTTACAGATGGTTGTTAGCTCCCATGTGGGTGCTGGTATTCAAACCCAGGGTCTCTGCAAGAGCAGCCAGTGCTCTTAACCACTGAGCCATCTCTCCAGCCCTCACACTGCCTGTGTCTGTGGTGCACAAGATGGCCCCTCTGCACACCTCCTTTGGGCCATGTTCGCAGTCTCACCTGAATTGTGAGCTCAGAACTCTGGAAACCACAGTCCCACCACCTCAAGTTATCCTTCTGGAATGTAGTGGCATCCTGCTCCTCTTGGGTGCTTTGCCGTCCCCATGCTTCTGATTCTGGAGGACCACTTCTCCGTGCAGGTCTATACTGTTGCTCTATCCCAGTGTTCCTGTTTCTCCCTAGTTGTGTTCTTTTGGATGGGAACTCAGGCTACTGTTGCTTTCTCTAACATCTAAAAGAACATTTTGGAATTGTTAGGGCTGAAGAGATGGCTCGGCCTTAAGAGCACTGACTGCTCTTGGCAGAAGACCAGGGTTTGGTTCCTAGCACCCACATGGCAGCCAACAACCATCTGTAACTCTAGGTTCAGGGAATCAGATGCCCTCTTCTGACCTCCACAGACAGTGCAGGACATGGTACACTTACACACATGCAGATGATATAGTCATACAACAAAAATAATATATTTTTAAAAAATCAATTGTTGAGCACATCATGATAAAGGCCATCTGTGTGCAGATGTGCTGTGTCTGTAACAGAATGTAAACTGAGGAAAGAGCTTCATCCATCCAGTCTCATTGAAAGAATATGGCTTTCTGCCACAAGGTAAGCTCCAGCCTCATGCTCCAGCGCTTCCACAGATGTCATGGGACCTGGATACTCAAAGTTTTGCCTGTGAGAAGTCACAAGAAAAGTGCAGCAAAGACCCAAGAAGGTGGCTGGTTGCTGCGGTTCTTAATAGGTCACTGAATGGCTAAGGGTCTACACTGCTCCTGGGGTAGATGCACCCGACATGCCTTCAGTGTTGTTTTTGAAATTTTGCTAGTTTGCTGCTTTGATGATGATAAGAAAAGATAGCAACGAAGAGTTCATGTCAAGGACTCCTCGTGCTCATAGAAGCCTGACAATGTACAAGGTACCCTAGCCTGTGTCAACCACCTATGTCTCCACATGCACATATATTCTGTCACTTAACCAACAGCTTTCATGTGTCTAAAGTTACAGGTGATAGCACATAGGATGATGAAGGACCAAGTGCTCAGAGTTATACATGACAGAAGAACTAAAGCCGGGCAGTCTGGCTTTAGAGTCACAGCTCTCACCACCATGTTTACCACCTGTACCCCTCAGAACCTGGAATTGTGTCTCAAAAACATTATGTTCCAAACACAACTCAGTGGCAGCTGCTCCAGTTCTCAAATCCAGCAAATTAGGTTCCTGTCCCCCATGAATGTTCATTCTTTGCCTTTCTCTGGTAGTTCAAATGTAGTAGTAGTTGCTTCTTTTAAAAAAAGAAGAGTCAGTTTTTATTTGTATGTATGTATGTATGTATGTATGTATGTATGTATGTATGTATGTCTGCCACATGTCTGAGAGCACCTGAGAGGCCAGAAGAAGGTGTCAGATCCCCTGGATCTCAACTTACAGACTAACCCAAGCCTCCCACCCCCAACCCCCAATGTGGGTTCTGGTAACTGAAGTTGAGTCCTCTGGAAGAGCAGAGTGTACCCTTAACCACTGAGCCAGTCTCTCCAGCACCAGGTTTTGCTAAAGTAACCTCTTTGCTTACTTGTCTCAGGTGACACCAGGTTGAAAACTGTACAGGGTGTTGTGACAAGATATTGCACTGATTATGGCATGATTGATGATTTGATCTACTTTTCCAATGATGTTGTGAGTAGCAAAGTGCTTCTGAATGTTGGACAGGAAGTTATTGCAGTTGTGGAAGAAAATAAAGTGTCAAATGGACTGAAAGCAATCAGGGTAAGTCTTAAGTTTATTGAAGAATAGTCTCTTCACCATGAACTCCACATTTGTTAAACTCGCAGACATGGCCTGGCCAAGGAAGAGACAGTACAGTTTGCCCATGACAGGGAGCTTTTGTTCTTCATAATGATTTTATAGTGTTGGTACACATCTTTAATCCCAGCACTTGGGAGGCAGAGATAGGCGGATCGCTGTGAGATGGAGGTTCACTTGGGATGGTCGATGTAGAGAGTTCCAGGCCGGCTAAAGCTACATTGTGAAACTGTCTCAAAAAAAAAGATTGGCCCAGCCTGGTGGTGCACATCTTTCCCAGCACTCAGGAGGCAGAGGCAGATGAATGTTTGTGAGTTTAAGGCCAGTCTGTTCTCCATAGCAAGTTCCCAGGACAGCTAGTGCTGCATAGTAAGAAAGTTTTACTACTTTCCTAATTAAAAAGACTGGACTCTGTTATCTGATTAGCAAAGAAAATTAGTGGCTTCTGTTCAATTTTTCATATAAAAATGGTTTTTGGTAGTATAAATTCTTGGAAGTAGAATCGATAGGTTAAAGGGTGTGTAAATTTTAGAGTATAGTTGTCATGGTCAAATCAACATCAGATAACACTGTACCAGCTTGTTTGTCAGATGCTGGGATCTGAGATGTGACCCTTGTGGTTGTATTGCAGACACTCTCAGCTGTTGAGCATCATTCTAGCTATCACAGTTCTCTCTAACTCTGTTTTTGTAGTTTCATTTTGTGAAGTTACATGCTTAGGTGTTTCATTTCGATTTCTGTCCTTGATTGATTGGATTCTTAAGTGTGGTTTGTTTGTTTTTTTTTAATTTAAGATAGGTCTCACTTTGTACCCATACTGGCCTTAAAATTCACAATTTTTTGCCTTAACCTCTCAAATGCTGGAATTACAGATCTGTGTCCACCGTGCCCAGCTTCTTTTTGAAGAAACTAAATGTTAGTGTCCCTGCTACTTTGCCAAATTCATTTATTAGCTATAATCAATTTGAGGAGTTTTTAGCATGTGGAATCTAGAATTTTTATATGCAAGAGATTAAGCCATCTATGAACAGAGGTAGTTTTACTACTTTTTAAATTTAAGCCTTGAATTTTTTTTCTTACCTAATTTCTTTGGTGAGGACTTTGAGCACAACGTTGAGTCCAATTTTTTGTGGACTCTATTCATTGCACAGAATGACAAGTCTCATAATGAAATTTTTATACAAGTATCTCATATACTTTGACTATATTTATCTCACCCTCTCTCAGAATGTTTGAATTTTATCAAATTATTTTTCTGCATCAATGGAAATAATCATTTTTAAAACTATATATGTGTGTGTGTATATACATATGTGTGTGTGTGTGTGTGTGTATGTGTGTATGTGTGTATCTGAGTGGGTATATACATGTGAATTCAGGTGCCCACAGAGGCTAGAGGCATTTGATCCCCATTGGAGCTGGAGTTAAAGTGATTATGAGTTGCCTGACATGGGTTTTGAGAATTGAACTCAGGTCTTCTGCAAGACCAATAAGTGCTCTTAACCACTCTAGTCCTCAGTCATATGATTTTTTTCTTCATCTTATCAATGTGAGTTGTTGGCTGAATTTCAAATGTTTGATCACTTCTGCATTCTGGGATAAACCCCATTTGTTCATGGCATGTATTCCTTATAATATGCTGTCACATTGTGTGCTCACATTTTGTTGAAGATTTTTATATCTTTATAAAAGAGATTGCTGTAGGGCTATATCCTCCAAAATGTGTTAGTTGAATTCTGACTTCCAAGGTGATTGGTATTACTAATGAGGCTTTTAGGGGATGATTGGGTCATGAGGACTTATGAATAGAATTCATGTTTACAAAAAACACCCCAGTGAGCTCCTTAAAAATCCCTTCAGAGGAGACTAGAGAGATGACTCAGCAGCACTAGCTGCTCTTGAAGAAGACGGGTTCAATTTCCAGCACCCACATGGCAGCTAACAACTGTCTGTAGCTCCAGTTCCAGGGGAATCCAACGCCCTCTTCTGACCTCCATGGGCTTTGTACGACACGGGTGCACTTACGTATGCAGGCAATTTACTCATACACATATAATAAAAAAATTTTAAAAATAATCCCTTCAGGGGCCAGAGAGACAGCTCAGTAGATAAGAGCCCTAACTGCTGTTGCAGAGATCGAGAGCTTGGTTTCCAGTATCCACATTCAGTTACAGCTACGTGTGAGTCCAGTTCAAGGGGATCTGATGTCCTTTTCTGGCATATACAAGGACATACTTACACAGAAACAAAAATGTTAAGTTTATTTAAAAAAAAAAAAAAAAAGCCCTTCAGAAAGGCGTCTTGTGAATCAGGAAGCAGGTCCTCACCAGACACTGAATCTGCTTATCCAGAATGGACTAAGATGGGGACTCGGCCTGTCATTTCTCTCATCCTTTTAATGGTTTAGAGTCATTTGTCTGTCTTACAGGTCGAAGCCGTCTCTGACAAGTGGGAGGACGACGACAAAAACTCTTGCAGAGGGTTGTCGGACTCCAGCCCCCGAGTGCTGATTGGCTGTGTGACTTCCCTGTTGGAAGGTGCTGGCTACATTAATCAGACCACATATTTCTCGCTGGAGAGTGTATGTGAAGGTAGCTAGATGTATTTGTTTTATATTTAAAATTAGGTTTGTGTGTGTTAAATAATTTTAATGGATTAATTTTTTAGTTGGCTACATGCATCTTTGAAAGATTCTTATTTGGGCTTGGCCCTGCAGGTGTGGGCCTCATATGGGGCCTCTTGTATGTTGGGTGAACTTTGGGTTGGGGGAGGTCACTGTTTTAAACTTTCGGTTTCGTTTTTATGTTCATTTGTCAAATGCATCCTCTAATTACTGAGTTCCTATTCTAAAAACAGTGCCTTAGTCTAAGAAATGTTTTTCCCCCCGTTTTGTTTGTTGGGACAGGGTCTCGTGGTAGGGCAGGCTAGAACTTTCAGTGATCCTCCTGCTTCAGCCTCCTGAGCGATTGGATTACAGGTGTGAGTCACTGCACCTAGCTTAAGAACGTTCTAGTTCTTTCTAAGGTACTTCACATGTATTAAAATAAGGCTTGAATTACCTTGTACTTTTCCAAGAGTTATCCATTTTTAAAAAAATTTTTATGTGTATGAGTGTTAGGCCTTCATGTGTGTAAGTGCACCCATGTGGTTCAGTACCCGAGGAGGACAGAAGAGGGCACTGGATCCCCTGGAACTGGAGTTATGGACAGTTGTTAGCTGTCATATGGGTGCTGGGATTCAAACTGAGGTCTTCTGCAAGAGCAGCCAGTGCTTTAACAGCTGAGCCATTTCTCCAGCCCCACCATTTTTTAATTACATTTTTCTATCCAATCTAAGGTTTTACTTTTATGACTAAAGAAATAATTTGCTGATGTCATTCACTGAGTTGAATCCAACCACTGTATGCCATGCACCTGCTGTCTAGTGGTGGCTGCTAAGCTAGTCACTAGAGACCAGAACAGGGAGACTTGGTTCTTCCAGGCAGAAAGCTATATACACTGCAGTCAGGAAGGAAATTGGAATTCTCTGGGGAATTGCTTTCTGAGCTGCACAGCATTGAGTTGCATACCAAAAGATGAATAGCGGAGCTGGAAAGATGGTTCAGTGGTTAAGAGCACTGGGTGGAGACCCAGGTTTGGTTCCCAGCACCCACATGGTCACCCATCCATAACTCCAGTTCTAGGGGATCCAACACCCTCTTCTGCCCTCCACTGACAGTGCACACATGGTTGCACTTACATACATACAAGTAAAACACTCATACACATGAAATAAGATGAATAAATTTAAAAAGCCTACCTTTTAAAGATGACTATCAGCTGCTTTATAGCCTGGCTGCCAGGGGAAATTTGCCTACCAGGAAGCTTGCTGTTGTTACTCTTTACCTTGTTTACAAACCTAGGGGCCTCAAAATGAAATTGGCAGTCAGTTATCAGGGATTTTGAAACCTGTTTGTCAGAGAAATTCTCAGTTCTGGTGGAAAGTTACCTGTGATTGTCTAGGCTCCTCAGCCATGCCAACTGGAAGCTGTTCCCAGGCAACCTTAATGGACACTGCCCACATGAAGGAGGTAGAGGGTTTTTGATACTGCACATGTTGACCAAAGGTACAGAAAAGGCTTACCTTGAAGACTAAAGGCAAACTTAAGACACTCTGTATAGGGTGAGAGCTATGCTCAAAGTGTAGAATTTTCTATTAATATGGTCATAAAACCCAATGACTATAGCAAAAGAACATTCATGAGAGAATATAGAATGTGAAAAATACTGTCAAATGGCCCCTAGTGGTTGGCTGGCCTCTGGGTAAGATTCCAGTGTGGGATCCAAACTGTGAGTGGTGAATTAAGGGCTTTCCCAGTAGGCAGGAGTCTATATAGCACCAGGTGAGGTTCACCCTGTCTCAGGTGCCTTTTTGGTGATTAAAGCAGGGATTGATTGTAGGGTGGTTTGTTTTGGTTTTGTTTTTGGTCTTTGAGACAGGGTCTCCCTGTAGCCCCAGCTAGCTGGCCTGAATTCACTATGCAGACCAGGCTGGCCTTAAACTCACAGAGACCCCAGTGTCTCTGCTCCCAAGTGCTGCGATTAAAGGTATATACCACCATGCCCAGCCAGATTGATTGTTCTTATCTCTGATATTCCTGAGGTCCTTTGGTTGCTTTAAGGCCTTCACCCAGGGCTGGCAAGATGACTCAATGGACAGAGAAACTTGATAAGAAATCCTGGTTACCTGAGTTTGATCCCAAGAATCCAAGTAAAGATGAAAGGAGAAAACTGACTCCACAAGTTATCCTCTGACCTCCACATGTATGCCATGCATGGAAACCCTCACACACTTCTTGCACAAACATACACAATAATAATACATTTTAAAAAATGAAATCCTGCACCCAAGCCCTGCCACCTTCTCTGCCCCTTCCTTTCAACTCCTATCCCAAAGATGAGTCCTTTGTCCTGGTGAGGTGGACAGTTTCCAGAACTTTTCCATGTCTGCCTGCTCTTTGTTCTCTTCACCTAACCAGTTAGACTGTACAGCCTTGTTCTTGGCATTTGAGGAAAACCTTAGCAGAGGGTGGCAAGGGGAGAGCTAGGACAAACACTTCATCTGGTGCCCCTGAGCCTGTTATTTTTTGGGTGGTCCCTCAGCTACAGCTGAGGGTGGCCAGATTACTTTGTTCATGGTGAAGAGAAGTGTTAAAATTAAATCAAAATCAAGCAACCTTTGATCACTAGTTTGATACTCTAATCAGCAGTGCTGAAAATGCCACTTTTCACAGATCCACAGTACAGAATGGTAGAAGTGTATTAAAGAACATTTCACAAATCAATGGCAATTTAGTCCTAATCTCAAACCAAAATTCATGTAACAATTTTTATGAAGCTCAAATCAGCAACTCAAACAGCAGTTTCTGTGATCATTCTGTGGTGATAAACATTCATTGTCAAATTTCCTGAACTTAAAACCATCTTGGAGACGTGCATAAGGGCATGTCTTTGAGGGTGTTTGCAAAGAAGTTTTAAGTGACGAGGGAAGACATACCTTGTATGTGGACAGCACCATTCTGTGCACTGGGGTCCCAGACTGAATAAAAAAAGAAAAAGGAGAAAGTGAGCTAAGTGCCAGCATTCACCTTTATTTGCTTCCTGGCCACGGATACAGTGTGACTCCTGCCACCACAGCTAGAGCTGCTCTCAGTGTCATACCTTCCTCCCCATGAGTGACTCTACCCTCATACTGTGAGCTAAAATAAACCATGGTAAGTTGGTTTTCTTTGTTGTTTTGTCACAGCAATAAAAGAGGGAACTAAGAAGTACTGAGAAGCAGAACTATTGCTGATAAGCCTGACATGAGGTTCATAGACCTTTGAAGTGGTTCGCAGGTGAAATATGGAAAGAATTTGGAGCTGCAGGCTAGACAAGTCCTGTAATGCTGTAAGCAGAGCTTAATAGGCTGTTGTGATGGGAGTGTGGAAGACCAGAAAGCTGAGAGAAGTGTGAAAATGTAGTCTCAGCTCATGAGAGTTCAGAAGAGACTAAGGAGTGGACTCAGAGTTTTTATAAGCTGTTCATGTTACCTTCCAGAAGAAGAAAAATCTTCCTACTCATATCCTCAGAATGTGATGAGACTGAATTTACAGGTGATAAGCTAAGTTCTTTGTGGAGGAAATTTCAAATACAGTATTCAGCTGTGGCGTGGTTACTGCTCACTGCTTTATTCAGATCTATAGTGAGGGTGAGCAGAAAAATACAAAGAATAAGTGTGAGGTTAAAATGGCAGACAAGGCATGTGTCAGTAAAGCAGCTGAAGTTATTAGAACATTAGCAGAGTTAGACAGAACCCTCCCATTTGGCACTGGGACAACTAGAAAAGGTATCTTGAAGGCAAGAAGACCTCACCAAAGGTGCTAGCTTGTTACAGTGGTAGCTGTCGTGAAAGGAGAGAAACTGAACTGAGAATGCCACAAGAGGAGTTCTCCAAAATGTTTGCCTAGGGAAGTGTTTCCCCAGGTTCAGCTACCAAGGAATACAGAGGTCACTTGAGCTGTGGTAGAAGGGAGCCTTTCAAACTGGTGGCAGAATTTGGCAGTGTCATTCTTAACGGTGCTGGTTTTACAGGCGTACAAAATGCAAGAGTGAGGGTGTTATAGAATCTTGCATCAAAGTTCCAGGAAGCCTCTGATGCCAGACATTGTACATCAGGGTTGGATTCTGTGGAAGAAGGCCCTGAGAAATCTCTGCAAGATGCTGTGATGGCGAAGCTTAAGTTGTGATGGAGACCCAGGATGTTGGAGGTGATGGGACCACAAGATGTCCATCAAGGAAACCTTCAGGCATAGAATGAAACTGGCTCAAGCTGTAGATTGCAGAGCTGGAAGGGCAAGGCTGCCCAAGGCTGAGTCCAGATGATTACATCGTTGGTAAGGCCCGAGATGCTAAACATAAAACTGCAAGAGTTGGTGTTTGTCCTGGTGAGTTTTAGTCTGGCTTTTCAGTATTTCCTTGCCGTGCCTCCAGTTTCCTTTCCTTTGGAACTGCAATGTTTACTACGTCCATTGCCTATCAGATGTACGTGACTTGGTTCTTGTAGTTGTTATTATAGAGGCTCACATTTAAGAGATGCCTCCTTCTTAGTGAAGATTCTGCTTAGAATTTTGAGCAGTTTTGACACTGTTAAGACTCTAGGGACTTTTTAAGTTAGAATAGATGTATTTTGCATTATGAGATACCATGAACCTTTGGAGGTCAGAGGTGGAATGTTACAATTTAAAATGATATGTTTGGGTATCAGGTTGACAACGGGTATACCTGTAATGGCTAATAGTCACTGTCATCTTGACTGGATTTAGAATCACGTCGTAAACATACCTCTGGTCATGAGAGTATTTCCGGAGAGATTTAACTGAGGAGGGAAGACTCATCCTAAATACCCCATTCTAATGGTATCATCCCATGGAATGCAGCCCCCGCATGCATTTTTCGCTGCTTCCTGACTGCTGGTGCAGTATGAGCAGCTGCCTCATGCTCTTGCCACTACAACTAGATCTGCTGTCACCAGTGTGCCTTCCTTGCCATTAAAGATTGTGCTCTCAAACCAAGTCACAGTAAACCTCCTCCTTCCTTAAGTTGCTTTGTCAAGTATTTTGCCATAGCATTGAGAAAGTAAAACACTACACTACACTACAACACAACACAGTACAGTTCAAAGAGAGACTCGTTTGATTGTTTTTGGTTTTTGTTTTTGTTTGTTTTTTGTGGTGGTGCAGGGGGATTGGATCCAGCACCTTGAATGTGCCAGATGAGTGCCCTGTCACTGCTCCTTCCCAGCCTACAGTTGTACTAGGCTGATACTGAATATGCTGTGGAACGATGATAGGAAAATATTAAAAGTCTTTGTCTTTTGTAACTAAACCATTATGTTTCTATAAGAGCAGAAAACCTGTATACACAGTAGAGCATTGCATTGCATAACATAACAGTAGTCTTGAATATGAGCTGAACTGTTTGAGGCAGTTTATTGGTATTGTTTGGTGTGATGTCATGCTCAGTGCAAAGTGTGCATTTTGTGTTCAAAACCAAAGGTACAGTAAAATTGCAAGATGCTACATGAGTGAGCACTGCCGGAAATACCTTGGATTTGTTTCACATTTGATTTTTAATTTTTGTTTGTGTGTTCAGAAATCTTTCACTGTTGTCCAGAGCCTCACAATCCTACATTTAGCTGTGCAGAGTTTTAAGAAGCTGTGCCTTAGAGATGTGAGCATTTTGAAAGCCTAGATGGTGAGGATACCAAAGAGGAAGCCAAAGTTGCCAGAGTCAGTGGTGTATGTTACCATGTTGTAAGCTTTGCTGTGGGGGGTTAGGGTTCAACTTGTGGAGGAGTCAGGAGGACAGGATGAAAACCTTCCACTCATTTCTCAGATTTACCTAGATTAATGGAACTCAGCCACACTTAAGCGCCTATGCCTGCTAGAACCTGGAAATGTCCGTTCACTGGTGTGTTCACTGGTGGTTGTGTGTGTGTGTGTGTGTGTGTGTGTGTCCATGTTTGTGTGGGTTCATGTGGAGGCCAGAGGTAGATCAGGTATCTTCCTCAGTTGTTCTCTGCCTTACAGTTTTTGAGAAAGGTTTCTCACTGAACCTGGAACTCAGTATTTGACTAGACTGGCTGGCCAGTGAGCTCAGTTCTTCTAACACTGGGGTTACAGATGTGCACTACACACCCAACTTGTACATGGATGCTGAGGATCCAAACTCAATTTCTCTTGCTTGTGCAGCTGGACATTTACTGAACAAGCCATCTTCCCACTCCCAGTCCTTTGGGGTTATAGTTTTCTTAATGGGAAAATATAGAGAATAGACTTACAGGTAGGGATCTGAGATGACAGGCCTGATTGAGAATGACCATCCTCCTTTAGAGGCTAGAGGATAGCACCTAAAACTCTGCTCCATTTAACAGCTGTGGAAGCATGAGGCTTGCCCCAGGGCAAGGTAGATGCATGAACTGGGCCGTGACAGAGAAGTGAGGAGAGGATGTGCATCGCCACCACAGTCTTTCTGGAAGAAAATGAAGTTTAATGGAAGTGTTGCTAGCTGAAGTAAAGTGTGTTTTTTAAATGTTCAAATGTGGAGCTGGAGAGATGGTTCAGAGGTTAAGAGCCCTGGCTGCTCTTGCAGAGGACCCTTGTTCAATTCCCAGCAGCCACATGGCTGCTGACAACTGTTCATAACTTCAGTTCCTGGGGATCTGTCGCCCTCTTCTGACCCCCTCGGGCATTGCAGGACACAGATGCACTTACACACCTGCAGGAAATACATTTATACACATAAAATAAAAATAATAGTTTTTAAATGTCCATATGTGTCTCAGAATATAAATTATTTCAATGTATCATAACCTTGAAGTATACTGAACATTTGAGTGTTACTGAAGTTTTCTCTTTGTCCCGTTTTAGGTTTCCAGCCATGCAAAGGAGACTGGGTAGAGGCTGAGTACTGGATCAGGCCAGAGACATGGAGCAGTGAGGCACTCTCAGTGAAGCCACTGAGGTACAAGCGTGTAGACAAGGTAGTGTGCTGATGAATAGTTCCTGTGTTTCTGCAACAACTGCTACCAGGGATTACTTTCCCAGCCCAAGATTCTCCTGGATGTGCCAGTAAGCCTGCTTAGATAAAGTTCAGTCCTGGCCTGTCTTTCATTAACAATTTAAGAGGCAATAGAGTACTTACATAAATAAGATCTAAGTTACAGCATGTACCTGGATGCATTAAGATATTATAGTACAAAACATATGCATGATGAATTGTGGACCTTGAGCTTCCTTGTAAGTTGATGATTTGGGGAGTGAGATGGGATTGTAGAAGCATTGAGTTTGCTCCAGGGTGAGGTAGATGCATGAACTAAACTATGACAGAGGAGTGGGGGAAGGATGTCACCACCACCACAGCCCTCCTACTTAGCCTGAAACCTTCTAGGCATCTGTGTAGCCATGTTGTACTGGAACTTACTGACTTTGCAAGACTGGACTGGGTTAGTCAGATTCAGAGGCAAGTTTTGAGAACTGTCACCTTGTCCATATACACTTTCAAGCAATGTTCAGCACTGCACTTACAGGTTTGCATTTCCAGCCTGTGTGGGAGGAACGGGGTGATAGAGGACAGCATCTTCTTCAGCCTGGACTCCCTGAAGCTTCCTGAAGGGTACATACCGAGGAGACATGACATTGTCAATGCCGTGGTGGTGGAGAGCAGCCAGTCATGCTACATCTGGAGAGCACTGTGCATGACCCCCATGAGGAGGTGGTAACTAAACAATGTTTCTTCTTTGGAAAGAGAAAGGCCTGATTTTAAGTGTGTTTTGATGAGTTATAGTCAAGTGTTGTCTTGACATTTCAGTCATTTGTGAATTGTGTATAGGATGCTGGTCCCATAAGATCATATCACTAGGCCAGCATGATGTTCTGTGGGTAAAGGTACTTGTTACTTAACCCTGATGATCTGAGTTTAATCTCTAGAATCCACATAGTAGGAGAGAACCAACTCCTTCAAGTTGTCCTCTGACTTTCACATGTGAGCTGTGGCATGCTTGTGTGCATGTACATTTGTGTGTGCATGTGGGCACACATGCACACTAAATAAATGTTAAAAAATTTCTTCAAAGGTCATTATCACCTTTGTGATTGACTTTTTAACATTGTGGTCTTTTCGGTCTTTGGAAGCGTACTGTGGTATCCACATAAGGATGAAATAACCTAACAACACATTTCTCGGAACATACACACTGTTTTCAGCACATGTGACTACTTCCTTAAGCCAGAGCAGTAGGCATTCCAAGTCCTGCATTAGCTGGTTAAGAAGAGCATGTCTTCTGTCTTTGTGGTTGAGTTGGAATTCTGAGGGTCCCTTAACCCTTGCTCTTAATGATAGTGATTCTGTTCATCCAGTTTCTGTTGCTGCTGACCCAGTACCACAGACTGGTAAGGTACAAGAAAAAAAGGTTTATTTTGGATCACTACCCTAGTCTACCATTAGGGGGCTGCATCTAGTGATGGTTTTTTGTTTTTTGTTTTTTCTGGTGCTAGGGATTGACCCCAGGGCCTTGTGCATGCTAGGAAAATGTTCTGCCACTGAACTGTATCCCCAGCTCCAGAAATGGCCTTGCCAGCAGAGTCCCAAGATAGCACAGAGCATCACATGGCAAGAGAACCCTAATCAGAGTGCAGATGCTCTGGCCATAACCCATTCATCTATTTAAGCCATTCATGAGAGCAGAGCCCTAATCAACTCTGAAAGGTGCTGACTAGTCCTACCTCTTCGTTGTTTTTGTTTTTGATTGTGGGGGTCCCACCTTTTTGTTTGCTGTTTGAGAAAAGGTCTCACTATGTAGACTTGCCTGGCCTAGAACTCCTTTTGTAGACCAGGCTGGCCTCCAGCTCTCAGAGATTGCCTGCCTCTACCTCTGCCTCCTGAGTGCTGAAATTAAAGGTGTGCACCACTATATCCAGCTAGGGCCCCACCTCTTATTGTAGGGATTAAATTTCAGCATCAGTTTTGGAAAGACAAACGACAGCAGTGATTGCCATTTTATAATTTTATTCTTATTTTTCTATTCTATTGATTTTCTTTGATAGGGTCTTATCTAAGGCAGTATCAAATTTGCTATGTGGCTGAAGATGACCTTGAACTTAAAATACACACATGCTGGAAATCAGGACAACTTGCAGGAGTTAGTTCTCTTATGTGGGTTCTGGGGATCAAACTCAAGTCATCAAGCTTGGTGGCAAGTGCCTTAATCTGCTGAGTCATCTCATCAACCTGACCTTGAAATTTTGATCCTCTTGTTTCTACCTCCCAAGGGCTGGAATTAAGGGGTATGTGTCACCATAACCAGTTTGTGAGGTGCTAGGGATCAAATCCAGAGCTTTATGCATGCTAGGGTAAGCACTCTACCAGTTGAACTACATCTCCAGCCAAAATTGTGTATGGAGTTGTTTTGTTTTGTTTTTAAGACAGAGTCCCACTATATAGACTAGACTAGCCTAGAACTCACAGATATCTGCCTGCCTCTGCCTCCCAAGTGCTGGGATTAAAAGTGTTGGGTCACCATACCCAGCATCATATGGAGTTGTATACCTTTTGTTCTTTCATATTTTGGTATGAAAAAATATATTGGGAAGCCGAGCATGGTGGTGCACACCTTTAGTCCCAACACTTGGGAGGCAGAGGCAGACAGATCTCTTGTGAGTTCAAGGCCAGCTGGGGCTACAGGGAGACCCTGTCCCAAAAAGGTCAGATATATATATGGAGGCTGGAGAGAGAGCTCAGCGATTAAGAGCACTGGCTGCTCTTGCAGAGGACACAGGTTTGGTTCCCAGCACCCACATGGTAGGTAACAGCTATCCATAACTGGGCCTGCAAGTATTGCATACATGGTACACTTTACATACACACAGGCAAAACACTTATGCACAGAAAACAAAAAAAATAAATAAAATTTAAAATATATGCTATATATTTTGTGTGTGTGTGTGTGTGTGTGTGTGTTTGTGTGTGTGTGTGTGTGATCCAGTAGGCTCTTACAGTGACTGGATGTTCTGTATCTGTGTTGTTCTTTTTATGCCTGTATATGTAACCATGTGGCCTCCATCTTAGCTTTGTATGTAGTAATCATAGCTCTGCGTACTGGGCCTCTCTGTCTGCTGTTGCCTTAGCACTCATCTCTAGAAGCTCCTCACATGTCCCTCTTAGTGTTCTACTCACTGTCAAGTCTCATCAGTAGAACACCAGTTCCTTGTGAAAAAAAAAATGCTTTGTCTATTTTCCCACCCTGCACCTAGCACCTGGCCTAGGGACCGGATGAGACAGCTCAGCTCTGTGCAACCTGATGGGCAACAGACACACACTGGAGTATGGGAGGGTGGACTAGCGTTGCTGCACTGGAGATAATGCTGTGCCTTGCTTTTGCTGGAAGAAACTTATCTTTGGCCACCCAGAGCCTAGTTCCTTTCCCCCTGGGACCCTGCTTACCTTCTGGGAGAGGGAGCCGTGCATGTGGCTCACACTTCTCTCAGCATATTGTCTCATCTGCAGAGCCATGGAATGCCCAGAAATAAGGCAGCCTGTTTACTGACAAGGACTGCACCCCTGTATTTTGATGGGCCCCAGTTCTGTGTATCTGTGACTCAGCCCTTTCATACTCAGTGATGGTCCCCCTCATGGGGTTGGCAGGCAACAACAACACAGTATGGCAGTGGATCTGACAGTGAATCCACGGATGTACACCTACTTGAAGGGCATACCTGTCTTACTCCACACATGCTGCTTTGAGTCTTCTCGTAAGACCATGAATTTTGTTGCCGATGTGTTTGTTAGTTCTGTTTTGTGATGTGGTTTTGCTATGTAGCCAGGCTGGCCTAGAACTAGTAATACTCCTGTCTCAGCCTTCTCAGTACTGGAATTAGTGTTGTAACACCATGCCCAGCCACCATGAATTCTTGGAAGATCTGTTCTACTCCATAACAGGATTGTTCTGTCTTGGCCCTGGAGTGTAAGCTACTAGGGCTGGGAGGCAGGGCACATTGCCCATTTCCATGTTTGGCTTATGGAGCATGTGGATATAAGGAAGCAGATGACTTCGTTTTGTGAGAACGAAGTAATTTCTCATTTTCTGAAGAGCAGAACTTCCCATTGAATTGTTTCTAGTTATAGTCAAATATTGGTTAATGATGGATATATGTTCTGAGACTGTGCCATCAGTCAGCAGCCTTATGATTGTACAGACATCATGGAGTACAGTTATAAAGCCTGTTACTTCCAGGCTGCAAGCCTGCATAGCATGTTACTGGCCAAACACTTCAGGCAGTGTAACACAATATTAGTTGTGTATCTAAATAATTGCAAGCATAGAAAAAACACAATGAAATTCTTAGGTCGTAGGAATTTTTTTTTTTAATATCCATCTTAGTCTTACAGGACCACTGTTAAGTGTTAAGTGTACAGTCTAATGTAATGAAAATGTTCTGCAGCCTTTGACTGTACTTAAAAATAAAAAGGTCCAAATGCCAGCTTGGTGGATCCCTGAATGCAAAGCCCTGCACCCCCCCATAGCTAGGGGACAGTTGAGCACAGAGAAGAATGGGAGCTTTGTGGGAGTAGGTCAGATGCTGTTGCACCCCTTTCCTTTAGACTTTTGGGGACTTGTGATGTTCTTTGAGAAGACTTGCCAGCTTGAGAAATTATGGGTCTTGTGATCTGACCTTGACTGTTGTAGCAGGGCATCTCTGAGGTCATCCAGGGAAGTGGGAGGCAGGAGAGAAAGGGGCAGTGGCACTGCCATAAGGTTCCAGTACTCTGACAGTGCTCTTTGGTGTTTTCTTCAGAGATGCTGCTACTATTGGTGAGGCCCCTGAGGAGCCCTACAGAACCCTCTTACTGAAAAACAAAGGTGATGTTGAAGTTACAAGGATGACAAATTTTGGAACACTGAAGGAAGGAGAAAGTAAAACTATGGTCATCTGGATAGAGTACGTACGCCTCTGAAGTATCAGATGAAGTGGCACAGGTTGCTTTTAAACTCTGATTTTAGATCTATTAGAACCAACTGAATTTTGATGCTTATATTTTCCTCTGAAAGTCTATAAAAATTTTACCCCTTGGGTCAGTAAGATAGCTCAATGGGTAAAGGCACTTGCTGTATAAGCCTGGAAATCTTAAGTTCAGTCCCTAGAACCCACATAAAGGTGGAAGGAGAGAACCAACTCCTATAAATTGTCCTCTGACCTCCATAAGCACGCTGTAGCACATGTGCCCACATACATCATATACAAGAATGAATAAATGAATGAATGAATATTAAAAAGAAATGTTACTCCAGGTTGGTATGATGGTTCATGCTTATGCCAGCACTGGGGAGGTAGAGGCAGGAGAATTGCTTGCAAGTTTGAGGCTGATCTACAGAGCAAGACTCTGCCTCAGTCTCTCTGCAAATGTCACCCAAAATGTCCTTTAAATTAAAATTTGTAAAGATGTTTGCAGTCATTCTTCACAACATTGAATTCTGTGGGGTTTGGTGACTCTTGTGTCTCAGCTCTGGAAGTCCATGTGTTCACAGTCTCCTTTTTTTTCTCCAGGAATAAAGGAGAGATTTCCCAAGACCTTATCAGTTGCAGACTGGCTGGCTGGGATAAAGCTCAGCAATTTAGATTTGAGGCACAGGGGAAATGTCAGGCCTACTCAGAGGTATCTTTTGTTTCTGTTCCTGAAAAGGAGAAACATTTTTCAGATGAAAATGTTAATTCATTGAATAATCACAAAAAAGACAAAACCAATGAGATGCCAGAGAGCAGTTTGGTGAACAACACAGAAGTCTCTCCAGGTAAATGGCTCAACTACTGCCTATGAAACTGAGGTGGCCTTGTGGCTCATGAGTTAGTGAGTCTCTGCCCTATGCCCGGGCAACAGTTTATGCCTGAGCTCTTTTGAGTTTGAACCCTTCCACTCCTACAGTTTTGAGACTATGGAGAGGAACAGAACCAGTTTAACAAAGACCAAAAGTGATTTAGGAGATGAGGATCCCTCAGCTGGGGAAATTGCTAGGGGTCAGAGACCTTTCTCAAGTCCTTGCTGATCTTGTGGGTTCACCCTCACCCCGTTTACCTGTTTTATTAGCCACCTTCCAAATTGATTTTGTGTATGTGTAAATGTTTGTGTCTGTGAGCATTCATTTCTAGCACTGTTAGGAATAAATTATCTTTTGGTCTAATTTTGGGTTTAAAGGTCATTCTCCAGATGACTGCGCTTGTAAAGGAGAAAATAGAGAAAAAGGAAACACCACATCAAAGAATCAAGAGGCTGAACCTGGGGGGCTTATCCCTCCAGGGGAGAAGACTTTCATTGTGGTTACATGTGATGCCAGGTACATGCTGGGGGCTAGAAAGAGCTTCCTGTCGGGCACTGTGCATGTTTCTTGGGATTGTCTGCAGTGATTATAAGCTGTATATTTTAAAAACACCCATGCCTGACTATGATGTGACCAAATCACAGCAAAAAGCATTGGTTCAGAAAAAGACTAGCCATGAAATAGGATGCTGGACCTCAAGATCCATTCTCATCTTCAGCAGACAACCTGAAGTCCATCTTTACACAGAAAACAATGCTCACAGCCCGTTTAGATGTGCTGTCCTTCACTGTTTTTGAGCCCTTCTGATGGTAGCCACCTTGGGCTTTTTTTCACTGTGTCCTGGTGTCCCCAAAACTTCTGTCCATCTGTGCCCCTCTTTATCCCCTGGGCATCTGTCCAAGACACTACTATAGTGAGCTGAGAATTAGGTAAGTTTGGACACAGCTCAAATTGGAATGCCAAAGCCTCCATTCTCCTCTCCCTCCTTTCTGTGGTTGATTGAAAGCACATCCCACCCCCAAGCCTATCACTGGTCCCTCCTTTTCCTGTTCTCCCTTCTCAGACCCCCACCACCATTCTGGTGCTTAAAAGCATCTTGTCACTAAGCTCAACATTTGGGTCCAAGCACCTTTAATCTATCATAAGTCATTTAAATCCAAGATCTAAATCTGGTTAAATCACTGCCTTACTTCAGACTGTCAGTATCAGACTGTAGGTTACCATTAACAAACTTCAGTCCTTTAGTTGGCTGTGTAAGATGCAGCTTAGATGGGGTTTTAACCCTGAGATAACAGGAATAAATAGGTTGGGAAAATAGTAGCTGTAAGCAAAGTTAGTGTGCACAAGGTAACCTCTGCTAGAGTCACTCTGGAAATGAGCAAGCGAAAGCAGTGTCAGGGTACGGTTTTCCCTGTTAGGTTTCAGAATTACAGGAAGGACCATTTTAGCAGCTGATTTTTATCTTGGTGTATTAGTTACTTTCCCTGTTGTTGGAATAAAACACCTTGACAAAAGACAAAAGCAACTTAAGGGAGAGTTTATCTTGGCTCCCATTTCCAGGTTACAGTCCACCATGGCAGAGAAGCCACATTGGCAGGAGCTTCAGGCAGCTGGTCTCTCTGTATCCATGGTATAAGTGGAGAGCGACGAAGGCCTGTGCTCAGCGTGCTTCTCTTTATGCAGCCCAGGATCCTATTCCAGGGACAGAGCCACTCTCAGTTGCTGGCTTGGTCCTATCTCAGTTAATCTGATCACCCCCATAGGCATGCCCAGAGGCTCTTCCCAGGTGATTCTAGATCTCATCACATTGACAATTGAGATTAACCCCACATTCAGGAAATGCTGAATTACTTGTTTTAGAAAGTAAGCTGTATGTGTGTAAGAGATTTACCAAAAAGTAAGCGTCTCTGTTACTTAGTAGCTTTGTAACTATCATAAGTTCAAAGGGAAATCTGATGAGATGCCATCTTATTCATAACTCAAGAGTAATTTCATTGTTTTTCAAGAAACCCTGGCCGTTGCAAGGAGCTCCTTCTGCTTTGCTTTTCTGACTTTCTCATTGGGCGATACCTTGAAGTGAATGTTGTGAGCAGTGAGGAGGCACTGATAGCTGTGCGTGAGCCATTTTCTTGGAAAAAGCCTAAAAGCTCCCAAACAATAGTGTCTGCGAAAACTACAGTTGTTGTCACCACACAGAAAAGGTACCGTGAGATGAATGTGTGACTTTGGGGTGTCAGAGACCTGTCTGTCAGCTTTATATGTTCTGGAGAAGCAGACATACCTGGGCGCAGCATTTAACCCCCTTGGCTGGAGAGGTGATAAGGGACAAGGCTAAAGGGCAAGATTGACATTTGAATCTTTCCATTACTGTACTTGGGGCAGGATGCATTTCATGGAAAGTTTATTTTCTAAGGTTAGGTTCTGTGGTACCATAGATGTCTGCACAACCGTCGTGCGCCTCAGGACTCTGCTTCTCCCTGAAAGGTCTTGGAGCCACTTTGAGACTGGAATGGATTGGCTCTTGGCTCCTGCCATCCTTTCCTGGGCAGGACTGGCTCTGATGTCCTGCACTATACAAGCAGCAGCAACTGTGTGCCATGGTGGCTGGTGTGGCCTCTGTAGTAGTTCCCAGCATTGAAGTGCAGCTTCTGTTGGGCCCCAAGATTGCTTGGTCACTTGAAGCCTGTTTGAAGCTGTGTTACCATTTAAGAATGAAATGTGTAACTTGAGGACAGAAAGCTTGTGGGCCACCCAAAAATTACCTGGGTTGGGTCTCAGGTTCATTTGTTCTCTTCTATAGTTATGAAAACAAAAAGCTCTAAGAAATAGGTTTTCTTTCTTTTAAGTTTGGTCCCCCCAGAGTTTTGACCTATGTGTGAGGGTATTTAAGGGCTTTGACCTTTGTATTGAAGACATTCCTGCATCATTGCCACTGCCAAGGGTGTGAGTTCAGGTGCTACCCACAGCCCATCAGGGCAAGACTGTTGTTTCTCTAATACTGGAAAATTCTGGATTTCAGATCATGTTACCCCAGTAGTAGTCTAAAACAAAGGATGATGGACTTCTACCATATTGTAGACTGAAAGGAGAATGTGCAGCAGACAGTTTTATGAGATTGCTGAACTTGTTGTTGACCATTGTTTGGAAGGCAGCTGTGGACACCATGCTTCTTTAGACCATTATTTGAAGCACAGCACTACAACCAAGAAGCTGTGTGGCCTTGGGCAAGATTCTTAACCTCTCTGTGCCTTAACCTCATTTGTAAGTGATCGTCTCTACTTCATGTGGTTTGAGGAATAAATGGTGTAGAGCTTGTAAAGTGCAGTCTCCTGGCACAGAGCAGTCAGTAAGTGCTGATGGTTCCTGCTCACCTCCAGGAATAGGCTCTAGCGTGATGAAAGGGAGTGAGATGTTACCATCTCACTGTTACTCTCTGCTAGGCAGAGAGTCCATGATAATCGGGTGTTGGTTATAAGAGCACCCAGGTACCCCTGGCTCTCACCCAGTGGTACACTGGCCACTGTCAGAGTTGGCTCAGCAGAGAGTACAATATACAGACCAACAAACACAAGTGTTCTAATTTCTGGCTAGTTATTTCGCTGGGAGTATTAGTACATGTATGAGAGTCACTCTAGAATAAGACTGTTGCTTTCCTGGCAGTCAGGTTTAGGGACTGAGCGCCTGGAGCATGGGGCAGTAGGTGCTCACTCCCAACTAGCTTGGTTCCTGCAAGTGCTGCCAGCACCACAAGGCTCAGAGAGTTCTTGTGCTCAGTCTTGTTCCCTTCTTAGATACCAGGGTAGGCTCATGTGCTGCAGCAGATCCCTTCTCAGTTTTTTTTAGTAAATGTACAAAATAATGGATTTCTTTATGATATTTTCATACGTGTAGATCATTGTGTCTTGCTAATATCTGCCTTGCCCATCACCCATCCTTGTCCCCCGCCCTCAACAGTAGTCCCCCTTCTGCTTTCATATCGTGTGTGTGTGTGTGTGTGTGTGTGTGTGTGTGTGTGTGCTGCATGTGAGAGAGAACAGTGTTTTTCTTTTTTCCTCTCCCCTGCCCTTTAGACTCTTCCTCATACACAGTCCCTTGGCTACTTCCATACCGTATATGTATATATGTGTGTATGTATGTACTCAATGTGAGAGAAAATGTGATACTTTCTTTTCTTAAGATGATGAGTTCTAGTTCTAGCCATTTTCAGCAAATGACATGATTGTGTTCTTTGTGATTGAATAAAACTCTCATATATTTATATGCATATCACATTTTTTACTCATCCAGCTGTTGATAGACATCTAGGCTGGTTCCATATCTTAGCTTTTGTGAACAGTGCAGTGATAAACATGGATGCCAGTACCTCTGTGGTATGCTGACCTGCAATCTTTCGACATATGCCTAGGAGTGACTCATATGATAGTTCTATTTTTTTTTTTTTTTGAGGAACCTCAGCACTGATTTCCATAGAGGATGCACCACTTCACACCCCCACAGCAGGACGTCTCCCACATCCTCACTATTTGTTTGTTTTCCTTTGTTTTCATCAGGATAGTCATTCTGACTGGGGTGCACAGGGATCACAAAACAATTTTAATTTACATTTTTTTCATATTTATTAACCATCTGTGTTTCTTTTGAGAACATCTGTTCAATTCATTTGCCTAATGATGGAGGGGTTGTTGGTGTTTAACCTTCTGAGTTCTTATAGATTCTATATACTAATCCCGTGTCACTTGGTGAAGATTTTCTCCTGTTCTGTGGGCTGTTTCTTCACCCTCGTTGTTTCCTTTGCTGTGCAGAAGCTTTCTAATTCCATGAAATCCTATTTGTCAAGTCTTGCTGTTTACTGAGCTACTGGAAATAGCAAATCCTTGCCTTTGCCTGTATCTTTGCTTCTGTTGGTTTCAGAGTTTCAGGACTTACATTAAAATCTTTGATCCCTTTTGGAAATGATCTTTGTATGGAATAAGAGGTAGAGATCTATTTCTTTTTTTTCCATGTGCATGTGTGTATTGCCTGCATGTAGGTAAGTGCACCCATATCGTGCAATGCCCACGGAGGACAGAAGAGGCTGTCGGATCCCCTGGAACTGGAGTTAGGGACAGTTGTTAGCTGTCATGTGGGTGCTGGGATTCGAACCCGGGTCTTCTGCAAGAACAGTGTTCGTAACCTTGCTGAGCCATCTCTCCAGCCCCAATATTTCATTCTTCTACATATAAATATCTACTTTTCCTTACACCATTTGTTGGGGCTGTCATTTTCTCCAGTGTGTTTTTTTATACCATTGTTGAAAAATGGATGTAGCTGTGTCTTTATTTCTGGTTCCTCCTTTCTAGTCCATTGGCCTGTGTGAGCAGATCTCTTTACCAGCACCTTCTCTGCTGAGTTTCCACTGTCCAGTGGTGTAAACAACCGTGTTTTGTGAGTTCAGCATGTCTTCAGGGCATATGATCAGAGTGGACAGAGATGTCAGTGTGCTAGGATTGTCTTGGTTGTCCTGTATCTCATTCATTTTTGCAGTCACTCAGTGCCCTGCTTTCCAGATGTGCTTCGTATGAGCTGCAGAGGTAAAGACAGACCTAAGTTTCACATAAGCAGCGGTAGCCTTCAGTACTGCTGGGTAGCCCTGGAGTTGACTTGACCACAGAGTTTCTACCTAGTCACACTTCCAGGCTGCCTCCTGAGTTCTGATCTAAAAGAACCCACACAGAAGGTCACTGTTTATAGAGTTAAGAAGTTGGGAACACCTCTCTTCTTCTGTTCAGCACAGAGTGAAAGAAAGGTTAAAGGGGAATTGGGGATGAAATGCCTGGCCTTTTCCTCATGTGACTTGTGTAGATGAATCTCACTGTGACTTCCTACCTACTCTACTTTTACACATTTTTTTCTGTCATTCTGTTCTTTGTCTTGCTAAGAGCAGAATTTCTGTGACTCTGAATGCAGCTAGTTCTAGACAATGGCAAAGCTTGAGGGTGGAACCTAAAGTTTTCCAGAGGAACACAGCCAAGAACCAGTAAAACCATTGAGGCAGTTCCACACAGGGCAATCTTCACTGAATATATTCTTATCAATGATGCATGGGAATTATTTCTAATATTCATGACTTCACTGAAAATGTAATAGTGAGAGTTTAGCTCCTTAAGAGGGCTAAACATAGCTGTCTTCAAACTGCCTGGTTTGAGCAGGCTCCTGGGACTTCCAGTCTCTTCCCCTGCAGCTGGTGCAGCTCTGTCCACCTCTGTTGTAGAGATGACAGTGCCCAGCCAGAGCTTCTGTGAAGACAGAATCCTAAACCTGGAAGAATGGGAAGAATCTAGTCCAATTTCCACATCCGATCAATGAACAGTTGAACTCTGTACAGGTTATCTGAGGAGAAATGTCTAGTACAGATTGAGCATTCCTAATTCAAAAACCTGAAGTCCTGACACTGGGGAAGCAGAGACAGGTGGATCTCTGTGAGTTCAGGCCAGCCTGGTCTATATAGTGAGTCCCAGTTCAGGTACATAATAAGACCCTATCTGGAAAAAAAAAAAAAATATATATATATATAAACCTGATGTCCTCTGAAATCTAAAACCTCTTGAATATTCACATGAATATTCAAAATACGGAAAACTTTTCCAAAGCTTTAGATTTTAGTGCATTTCAGAAGATCTACAACTGATGACATCTATACAAACATTCCAAAATGAAAAAAACTAGTGTGCTGGAAATACAGCTCAATGATAGAGTGCTTGCCTAGCAAGGGTGAGGCCCTGGGTTGACACCCAGAGCTGGGAAAAGAAAAAACCTACAAAATCTGAAACATTTCTGGAACCACATATTATAGATAAGGGATATTTAAGAATCACCTTTAGGGATAGGGGATAGCTCAATCAGTACTTGCTGTGAAATCATAATGAATGAGTTCAATCCCCAGAACCCATGTAAAAAAGCCAGTCACAGTGGCTCACCTAGTGCTGGGGAGGAGGAGACAAGAATATCCCTAGGGATCACTGACCAGCCAGCCTAGCCTGATCAGGCAATCCCTAAACCAATGAGAAGCCCTGTCTCAAAAAACAGGGTGAGAGCCAGGTGTTGGGGTACATGCCTTTAGTCCCAACACTGAGGAGGCAGAGGCAGGTGTTCCAGGCCAGCTGGGACTTCAGAGAGACCCTATCTCAAAAAGACAAAAAAAAAACAGGGTGAGCGACACCTGAGAAATGACATTGACATTGTCCTCTGGCCTCCACACATGTGCATGTATGCCTGCACATACACAAACATGCACACTTACACAAAAGAATTGCTTTTAATTTAACAATTTATTTGTTTTTAAGGAACTCAAGACGACAACTTCCAAGTTTTCTTCCACAATATCCAATACCAGATAGACTGAAAAAATGTGTGGAACAGAAAATTGACATCCTCACTTTCCAACCACTTCTTGCAGAGGTAAGAAAAATACTTGAAGACTGTTCCTTTAACCACTGGGAACTAGGAATTTCAGGATGGCAAGAGAGAAACACCTTCACATATCCCTGGTGTTGAGTGCTCAGGAAGGAGTAGGAATTCCACCACGGGCCACCCTTCCTCACTATACTAGATGGCCTTGTTAGGAGGAGGAGGCTTTCTACACATGAAAGAGTCCCAGCACGCTAAGTTGGACAGCACTGGTGCTAGGAGGAAGAACTGAGAAAATCAGGGTCTCTGGGAAAGATTTAGCTCAGCACAAAATACCAGGAAGTACAGGCCCTTCTGAAGTCAGCAGCAGGCAGTGAAGTGACTATGGAATCAGAACTTTAAGCTTGGCTCTAGATGGAAATGCATTCCTTCATGCTCTACATTGTCTCTTAGCATGAGCAGGTGGTGACCTTTACTGAAACTTTATTCCCAGGAGATCCAGGGGAATAGGCCCGGAAATGTTGGGCACTACCTGCAGGAAAGGTGGAAGACCACATCTCTGAGTTGAGTGGCTACAGACACCTCTGGAAAAAACAAAGGTTTTTCAGGTTTTTTGTTGGGACAGGGTCTCCCTGTAGCCCCAGCTGTCCTGGAACTCACTAAGTACACCAGGCTGGCCTCAAACTCACAGAGATCCGCCTGCCTTTGCCTCCCAAGTGCTGGAATTAAAGGCGTGCACCACCATGCCCTGCTCAGAACAAAGTTTTAGATGTGACGTTGGGTATGTTTACCTAACCAAGGAAGTACTTGCTGTATGGTTTTGCAGTTTGTTGTTTGAGGACCATCCACTTGAGGGCTAGAGGAAGGTGTGCGATTCTGTACCAGCAGAGCTGTTAACAGGCTGGAGCCACTTAAGAGAGATGGAGATGTTCATAGAGAGAAGACTTGGGGAATGAGCTCTGGACACAAGGAGAAACAGTCATCGTGGACAGGGTAGAGTGGGGTAGGCATTCCTACTCTCTGAGCTCTGGGATCCCTAGGTTCTAGACTTTTCATCTGTTCATGCTGCCTCTGAGATAGGCAAGAAAACAGATGCTGATCTCTGGTTAGCTGTATGGAAAACTAACTGATACGCAGTAAAGTAAATAGTATGGACTAAATATGAACCCACAGACTCATTTGATGTAGACCTGGTCCCTAACTAGTAGCGCTCCTTTGGGAGGTGGTGGAAACTTTTAAGAGGTAGGACCTAGGTAGAAGAAGTAGGTCACTGGAGGGTATACCCTAGTCGCTGCCTGGTAATGGTAGCCCTGCCTCTCCAGCTCTCCTGCCTATAGCACACATAGTCTCTCTTGATCCAGCTCCACTCCATGCCTACTGCTTTCCCTGGCAGACATCCCACAATTGTCATCTCCAATGTCCTAAGGTCTTCGTTACAACTTAGGTTTCACCTTCATAGCTTCATGAGATAGCCTCTCAGGGCTTCCTTGAAGGGAATTGACCCTACCACACATCGCTTGGCCTCAGCAGCTTTCTGGAACATTGTGCAAGCCTCCTAACACCTAAACATGTAACACTCTTACATGTTTCATGTCTGCAAAACCAATGCCATGTGAATAATAGTACTGAGTTTTGCTGCCAGCTCAAGATGTACCCTGACCGTTGCTGCAGTAGCCTTTGTGGTTTAAAGGCTCAGTTGGGGAAAGACTTCCTTACATAGTTTTTTTTGAGAAAGGAACCCCTTTGGCAACAGTCTCAATTTAGGATTTCTTTCAAGTGATTTGCATTTTTACAAGTTGGATCCTTTGATGGATAGTCTTGACTTCAGGGCACCTTTCCTGTTGTTCACGTGCAGCACCGTCTTGCTAGCAATTATAGATGCTTTGTCTTCACCTTTCTTGTCTGCAGCTTTAAACTCACATTCCTTTCCTTGCCAAGCTGCACATTTTTCATATCTTCTGCTCTGCTTGGTGCTTCTCTCACTATACACCTGGGTATGAGCAGTGCACAGTAATGCTACCACAGCCTGACTACTGTCCTGCCTTGAAATTTCCTCCGCCAAACAAAGTAGTCTCTTTCTTTTTGTTTTTATTTATTTATTTATTGGTCTTTTTGAGACAGGGTCTTCCTGTAGCCCCAGCTGTCCTGGAACTCACTGTGTAGACCAGGCTGGCCTTGAACTCACAGAGATCCACCTGCCTCTGCCTCCCAAGTGCTGGATGAAAGGCATGCACCACCAAGCCCAGCTCTAGTCTCTTGCTTTTTAATTCACTCTTGCTCAGGTTTGAGGGCACTGGCACAATATAGCCATACTTTTTGCCAGAATATAACATAACATGAATGGCCTCTAGCCTACTTCCCCATAGTTTCCTTATTTCCCTCTGAAACTTCATGAGATAGACCTCTACTGCCCATATTTCTCTCTGTATTCTATGTCTTCAACTCGGACCAGAATAGCCCACTGAGATCTGCTTATGGTATTCTCGGGCTTCTCTAGCCCACAGCTCCAGACTCTTCTACATTCCTTCTGTGAACCAGTTCCCAAAGCCCTTGAAACCACTGGTCAGGTTTAACATAGCAAAACCCCACTCCCTGTTACCAGTTCTCTGTATTAGTTACTTTTCTCATGCTGTGATGAAATACCTGACAGAAGCAACATAAGAAGGAAGAGTTTATTTTGGCTCATGGTTTGAGGGTACAGTCTGTGGTGGCAGGGAGGTCACAGCAGCAGCAGCCCGAGGCAACTGGTCACATTGTATTCACGGCCAGGAAGCAGAGAGATGGTGATGCTGTTCAGTTCATGTTCTCCTGTTTTATACAATCTGTGACCCTAGCCCATGGGATGATGCCACCCATAATCAGTATGGGTCTTCCCTCTTCAGTTAAACCTTTTATTTTTTAATATTTATTTTTTATGTGTATGCATGTATCGCCTGCATGTAGGTAAGTGCACCTGTGTCATGCAGTGCCCAAGAACGTCAGAAGAGGCTGACGGATCCCCTGGGACTGGAGTTAGGGACAGTTGTTAGCTGTCATGTGGGTGCTGGAATTCAAACCCGGGTCTTCTGCAAGAACAACCAGTGTTCTTAACCACTGAGCCATCTCTCCAGCCCCCAGTTAAACCTTTTTAGAAACAATCTCAGACATACCCAGAAATATGTTTCCATGATGATTCTAAATCCCATCAAGCTGACAGTGAAAATGAGCAGTCAGTCCTGCTTCCTGGCCACCATGAGGTGAACAGTTTTCTCCTCCATGCCCTTATACCATGATGTTCTGCCCTCACCATGGTCTCACTTCAGTGGAGCAAGCCAACTATGTTCTCAGTAATTTTCACAGCTATGAAATAAAACTGATTAATACAAATACTGGTAGCAGAGAATTAGAGCCATTGATGTAAGTACACATGACAATGTTGTTCAGAAGCCTTTGGAACTGGTTTGTGGGGAAATTTTTGAAGTTTGGAGAAGCAGGCTAGAGAAGCCTTAGAATGCAGTAAGCAGAGCTAAATGTGTGGTTCTAGTCCAAGCTCAGAAGACCAGAAAATGCTAACAGGAATTATTTTTTAGGTTGTTTTGTTTTGTTTTTGTCTTTTTGAGACAGGGTCTCAGCTGGTCTAGAACTCACTATGTAGTCCAGGCTGGCCTTGAACTCACAGAGATCCACCTGCCTCTACCTCCTGTGTGCTGGAATTTTAAAGGCGTGTACCACCATGCCTGGCCATATTGACAGTTTATAAAGACTGCTTGGGGCTGGAGAGATGGTTCAGCGGTTAAGAACACTGACTGTTCTTGCAGAAGACTGAGGTTCAAATCCCAGCACCCACATGGCAGCTAACAACTGTCCATAACTCCAGTTCCAGGGGACCCAACAGCCTCTTCTGTCCTCCACAGGCATTGCACAACATGGGACATGGGTACACTTACCTACATGCAGGCAATAAACACATACACATAAAATAAAAATATTTTTAAAAAAGTGTGCTTGTAAGGGGAAGAACTATAATGGATCTGCAGTTTTCAAATCAGGCACCTGTGGACAAAGTGGAATGTCACAGCTCTTATTTCTAATCCTGCCTGCAGCAGGCCCAGGGCAATTATCTCCCAAGCATGAGAAATAGGCAACAGTCCTTTTCCAGTATATATAGACAATTTGGTGTCATTTTAGACCCACTCTGGTACTGGTAAGCATTGAGGTCACAGGGCCTTCCAGCCTACGTGACTGGAGCCATGCACAGGGATCTCCAACCTACATATCATAAAAGGGGTAGGGGCCATAAGTTAGAGTCTCAAGGAGGAAGCGTGTTTACAGAACCTGAAACAAAGGTCATGCACCTGTTTGTGAGGCAGACAAGAGAACTGGTTTCCTAGGTCAACTAAGATTTGTTTTCTTAAGCTAGTGGTGCATGCCTTTAATCCCAGCACACAGGAGGCAGAGGCAGATGAATCTCTGTGAGACTGAGGCCAGTCTGACCTACATAGCAAGTTTCAGGCCAGGTGGGGCTACAGGGAGACCCTGTCTCAAATGTGACACTGGGTAGGTTAACCTGCTCTGGTGGGAATGGACCTACACTGAAAGGAATTTGGGGATACAAATTTGACTCCATAGGCTTTAATATATATAACAGAGAACATGAAACTGAACAGAGAGTATTAAGGGGAGGGTATAGATGGGGGAGGGTCTCCAAATACGATCAAAATATTTTATCTGAAAATCCCCAAAATTCAGTAAATTTTTTTTTAAAAACTTATTCAGGTCGTGCCAATTTTTATTTACATTTTTTTATTGTTGGTTATAGGAGTTCTCTACTTAGATTCTCTTTCTTTAGATTTATTTATATTTATATCTGTGTGCCTATGTGAGTTTGTGTGGACCACATATATGCAAGGTGACTGTGGAGGCCAGAGGAGGGCATTGGATCTCCAGGAGCTGGAGTTACAGGTGACTGTGAGTCATCCATTGTGGGTGCTGGGAACCAAACCTGGGTCCTTTAAAAGGCAGTAAACATTCTTCATCACTGAGCCATCTCTTCAGCCCCGTCAACATAGACT